GGCTCCTACACGTGGTGGCCTCTGACAGATTATGAAAGGCTCCCACTAGCAATGCCTTCCTCTTGGAGTAAACACCTCGGCCTCTAGGAGTCCTCCTGGGAAGACAAAACATTAACCCACCAAACCACTGCCAAGCAGTGCAATAAACAAAAGCACACGGCTTTGGGCTTCAGTGCAGATAGCATGCCTACCGCTTGAAAGCTGTGTGACTCTGGGTGAGTTTCTTAACCTCCCTGATCCCTGGTTTCCACCAAATAACAGAGCTGGGCTGGATCTTCCTGAGGGTTTCATCCCTGGTCATGTTTCAGAAACTACTGATTCTCTCATGAACTCAAGCAAAGGCTCTGGTATATAAAAAAAAAAAAGGTGAATGAAAGAGTCAGTGAATAAAATCTCACAAGAAGGTAGAAGACAGTTAAAGGTGATGAGTGATCTCTCTGTGCGAGGGGCAGCACTGAGCCCTGGCTGCAGAAGATCCTCTCCAACAGCCCCTGAGAAGAGCTTCTGTTGTCCACTGTTCACCAGGGAGGAAGCAAAAGGGGCAGGACTCTTGCCAAGTATGTGCGTTGGGGGCAATCCCACCAGATACCCAGCACGGTTGTAGGGGAATCATGGTGAAGGGATCTTTTTCCCACTTCTGTTTGATTTTTATTGTAATTGCAAAAATAATATAAACTCATACCAAATTCAAACAACACAAAAATGTATGAAATATAAGTGAGTGTCTCATGCCTGCCTTGCCAGTTCTACTGCAAACAGAGGTAAACAAATTCTATTAACATTTTCATGGGGTTCCTTCCAAATTTTTTCTATACTTGTCTGTAGGATTTACAAAGGAAGATTCATTCATCAAACATTTATTCATGGTTTTCTGATAATGGTAATAGTACTGGAACAACCTGATTACTGACAAGTGCTGCCAACACCTGGAAATCACAAATGGTGGCCAGGTCAGAAATGGACCCTCCTCCCCTGGGGTGACTTGGGATCCCTTAGGAAGAAAGGGCAAATCGGGTGTCCATCGGAGTGAGGACTTCCAACTTCTAGAGTGATAGGGGACAGTCTGTGGGGGTGTCTGGAGCAAGAGGGCCAGCAGTGGGACCAGGGATTGGGGAAGATTTGGATAAGCACAGGTAAGAGGAGAGGGCATACCAGGCTGGGGAAGGACAGGGGCAAAGATAAAATTCTTACGACAGCAACAGGACTCTAAACAGTGCTGTATCGTGATGTGCTAGAGCCGCCTGCCACCGTTCAAGGACAGCCACTGTTAAATGTTCAAAAGCGTCACCAGCCAAAACCACTGACATCTTGACATCAGCCTTAGTGGGAATCTTTACACCACGGCAATCGGCAAACACTAGAAATCAGAGCTTTCCTTTTTTCAACCAGTTTGCCAGCCTGTGACTATATGTCAGTGTGTGCTGTTATTATGGGAAGCCACGAAAGGGTCTGGGCAGGAAGGGGGACGTGGTCGGGGTCACTCTGGGGCCAGTGTGGGGAATGGATGGTTTGGGACACGAAGGAGAGCGGAGACGCAGCAAGGAGGCCCCTGCAGTCACCCGGGAGAGTGCAGACAGGGGCAGGACAAGGCAGGACAAGGTGTGGAAAGGAGCAAAGGGAACAGATTTCATTCAGGAGGGGGACCGTACGACCTGGTGACTGGTGGATGTGGGGTGGGGGCAGGGGCAGGAACAGCCGCAGCCACTCGAGCCAGAAACGAGGAAAAGCCTTTCTCAACTTGAGCCGATACCTGGCCTTCTCCACCTGCTCTCCCACCTCTCCAAGGGAGAAAGGAGATATCCGGAGTTGTTTCTAGAAAACCCCAAGGGGCTGGGCTGGTGCGGGCTGGCCAGAGAAGGCAGAGACCCTCACCCCAAGCCCAGGGGAAGCTCTTGCTCCTGTTCACCCTCCTCCCCCTCCTCCTCTCCTCCCTCCGTTTCCTCCTCCTCACTCTGCCAAGCAAACCCTTGTGAATCTGAGGCGTAAACACTCCCACGGCCCACGCCAGCAGCAAACAGCTGCCTCCCACTGCGGGTCCAGCCCCACACTTGCGTCTGTGCGTGGAACCCTGAGCCCCCCAGACACAAATACTAGAGACTTATGATCAGCACCTGCCTCTACATCTTCGCCAGATCGATTCCTGAAAGACTCCTCTCCCCGTGCCAACTGCCTCGGGGCGTGAAGCATAGCAAAGTTTCATATGCCTCTAATCATCAGGGAAATGCAAATCAAAACCACAGTGAGTATCACCTAACTCCAGTGAGAATGGCTTCTACCCAAAAGTCCCAAAACAACAGATGCTGGTGTGGCTGCGGAGAGAAGGGAACACTCATACACTGCTGGTGGGACTGCAAACGAGTGCAACCTCTATGGAAAGTAGTATGGAAATACCTCCGAGAACTAAAAGTAGAACTACCATTGGGGCCGGCAATCCCACTACTGGGTACTTACCCAAAGGTAAAAAAAAAAAAGACATTTTATAAAATAAGACGCTTGCACTCGAATGTTTATAGCAGCACAATTCACAATCACAAAGATGTGGAAACAACCCAAGTGCCCATCAATACATGAGTGGATTAATAAAATGTGGTATATGTACACCATGGAGGACTACTCAGCCACAAGAAAAAAAAAATGGTGAACTAATACCCTTTGAAAAACGTGGATGGAACTGGAAACCATTCTTCCAAGCGAAAATGGAAAAACAAACACCACATGTACTCACCATTAAACCGGAACTTATCTATCAACATTCATGTGCACATATGGTGGTAAAACCCAGTGGAAACCAAGCAGGTGGGAGGGGCAGGAGGGGACAGGTAAATCCACACCTAACGGGTACAATGCATGCTATCTTGGTGACACTTATACAGTATATGCATCCTGGTTTGGGACCCCGAGGTAAGTAGTTGGGTGAGAGTGAATATTTGGGAGGTGAGCCCAGGAAGCTGGTGAGGGCTTGGAGAAGAGAGGAAAGGAATGAACGAATGAATGAGTGGGTCGGAGTGGGATCGCCTGGACGCAATCCCTGTGGGGACCCTCTGAAAAACTGCATAGAGCTGCAGTCCCCAACCCCCAGGCTTCAGATCGGTACCGTCTGTGGCCCGTTAAGAACCAGACTGCACAGCAGGAGGTGAGTGGCGGGTGTGAGCTCTGTACTTGCAGCCACTCCCCGTGGCTGGTGTCCCCACCTGAGCTCCGTCTCCTGTCATTTCAGCAGTGGCACTAGATTCTCATAGGAGCACAAACCTTGCTGTAAACTGCGCATGCGGGGGATGTAGGTTGCACCCTCTTTATGAGAATCTAAAGCCTGAGGATCCGCCGCAGCTCCACGGCGGTGATGCCAGCGCTGGGGAGCGGCTGCAAATGCAGATGATCATTAGCAGAGAGGTCTGACTGCACAGTAAATGCCATGTGCTTGAATCATCACAAAATCACCCCCCCCCCCCTCTTTCCCGGTTCGTTGGAAAATTTTTTTTCCTTGAACTTGGCCCTTGTTGCCAAAAAGGTTGGGGACCGCTGGCATGGAGCATATCTCAGAATTGTCCCATGGTGGCTCTTGGAAGCTGGATGTTTATTCTTCAGTCCCTGTTCTTCACTTGCGGAGGGCAGCTCCTGAGGCGTCCCTACCTCCACCTGGCACAGCCATGCTGTCCCTTAGGCAATCACAGAGGCCACCTGAGGCCAGGGAAAGTCCTCCGGCGGAGATGTGCAGGTTCCTTGCCTTCTGAAGCCATTTAAGATATAGGAATTGTCCATCAAAGATGTAGGTGCCTTGGGGTAGACAGAGAAAATTAGGTGAGGCACCGGCAGTGGCTGTGACAATATGCAAACGTGCAGAGCAATGAGTGGTCCCTTCAGGGAAGTCCCAGCTAGACCCCAGGATGGAAGGGGAGAGGGAAGAGAAAGCATGTAGAGATTGCAGAAGGCTTTGTATAAAGCGTTAAGGGGTTTGGACTCTCTCCCGGATGTAATCGGGAGCCATGGGAAGGATTAGAGGGAGGGAGAGTGGCAGGGTCAGATTGGTGATTTACACAGACCACTCTGGCTGCCTTCTGGAAAACAGATTGCAGCCGGAAAGACTGGAGCCATGAGACCAGCATGAGAAGAAGGGAGTGTTAGAAGAATTAAAGCCAGAGAGGATAAAACAACTCACACCATCACCCACCCCCCTGTACCCCAATGAATGAAGGCTTCTCTGGCCCCTCCATCCTGGCTCCCATGCCCCCCATTTGGCCCCCACTCTTTCACAGTCAGAGCCCACCCTGAGCTGACTCTGGGTCCACCAAGCAACAGGTTTCCCTGCTCCAGCCTGCTGGTGATGCCATTCTCACATCTGGGCTACTGCCTCAGTTTCCCTGCCCAGACTCCAGCTCCTAAGTAGTATAATGCAAGAGCCCTTCTCTGACCCCCATCCCCAAGCCTGGTCCCATCACTTGGTCAAGCTCTTCCCACATTCGCTGTCCAGGGAGTTGGGTCCTTCCAGAAATAGGAATGAGGGCCTTCCTCACTCCTGTCCTCGTCCCAGGGCTTGCTGTGTCCCCCTTGCCTGCAGCTGAGGGGGCATTTGGACAACTGCACTCCAGGCTGAGGTCCCGGCACTTCACCTGTGTTATCTCCCCTCTTAGCTCTTCCAGGGGGGCCGAGGGCCCCATTACGCAGACGAGGACCCGAGGTGCAAAAAGGGGCAGTAAGTGGCCAGATGGCCACAGCTGTAGCAGAGGCTCTAACTCAGTCCAAATACCTCCACCACCCCAAACCGGAAGCGTGGTCACGCCCACACCCATGAGTGCCTCAAGGTAAGGAGTTCCTGTTGCAAAGAGCATGTGCTTTTTCTTTGGGTCCCCAGCGTAACAGCTTGAGCTCCGCCCGGTGCCAGGTGCTGTGCCACCTTAGAAAGCCTGGCTCCTGCTTTGGTCACTTTCCACCTGCAGTCACATGTGGCCATGCCAGAGCTGGGGGGAAGACTGGCCTGGCCATGGCGGGGAGGAGGGGCTCACCTGGTGGAAGATGCAGCAGCACCAGCTGGGAGCCCCCTTCCTGCGCCGATCCAAACCTGATCTTGACAGTGAGTCCCTGTCCGGGGGCCCCACCTCCCTGCCCCCTCCCTGGCACTCCTTGCAGAGAGACACCAGCCCATGTCCTCATGTGTGTCCTCAGAACCCCTCTCTGGCTGGGGGAAGCAGCCTTGTCATGCCTTTTCTTTCTTACCATAAAAGTCCTGCTTTTATTTTTATTCTTTAATAAGGTTACAGCAGGACTGGGGGAGGAGGATTCTGGCCTCAGGCTACATCTGCCCTTCATTTAAAACACCCCGACTCCCACAAGGCTGGAAAACAAGTCTCCAAGCTTCTCTTTTATAGTCTTCGTTAGATCCAAATCCAGAGTTATTTTTGCCAACAGATTGTATCAGCCTGGAACCCATGTGCCTCCAGAAACCGACCCTCTTGCTTAAAAAGCAAACTTTCCCCGCTGCCCCCCAAGCACCCGACTCCTGCCCGTCCCAGACCCCTGGGAGTGGCCCCAACTTACACGTGCCATATGAGAACACCTTTTCCCTCCTCCTGGAAGTTTCCAGATTGCTCCTGTGCTCCAAAACTCTGCACTGCCCACATTCTCTTAATTCTCAAATGGGTATGCAGTTTCGGATCGGAAAATGTTTTTATTTTCTACTACAAATATATGGAGGGGAGTTTATTATTGTTTTTGATTACGCTGTGTCATTTGATCAAGAGCATGTGGACAAAGAGCATGCAAGCTTAGGTGCAGGGGACCCTTTCATTTACAGCAGAATAAGACAGAAAGCAAGACAGCACCTCGACTCAGCTGCACAGAGGGTGCTCTTGCTCTCCTGTCCTGGCCCTCTTGTGCCCTGACATCTTCCGCGGGTACGATCTGCCAGGCTGAGCTCAGACCCCCCAAGGCCAAGGCCGCCTGCCTGAAAGGCAGAGCTAAAAACAGCTCCAGCCTCCGAGAGGGGCCAGCCAAGTGTCTAATTGCTCTGCTCTCTCCTTGTCCTCCCTGCAAGGAAATCAAAGGCTCACTTGGATTCGGAGAGGAGGAAAAAAGAAGGCTGTTTGCAGGTGTGGAGGCAAAAATCATCCCGGCAACAGCGGGGAAAATGCCTCTCGGCAAGCCGCTAACGCAGGTGCACCTCCGTTTTCTGTGGGGCGCACGCGGTGAGCAGAGAAGGAATTTGTGGGCGCCGTGAGGGGTGCTGCTTGCTTTTGGAGCCCAGAAGCAGAGTGGGGTATAATTAATCCCTCCCCACGCCTGGGTCACAAAGGAGCCCTGGTCACGGCTGTGAGATTTCTTGTGATGGAAGAAAGTTAGCGACAGCTAATGGAGTTCCTCAAACCCTTTGTATATTTTATTTGGGGCGGGATGGAAGAGAGTAAGCATTAATCGTGCACATTCGGCTGAAAGTTGCCTAGACGTCCATTCATCTCTGCGTTCCTCCAGCCTGCATTTATTATTAATAATAATAGCTACCATTTAGTGGGCTTTCTTTGTGTACCGGGTGCTGGGCTAAGCACTTTACATGTGGTATCTGATTCAGGCCTCACAGCATCCCAGTAACAAAAGACATTATTATCCCCATTTTATTAATCATGAAACAGGCTCAGGAAGGGACAGTGACTTTCCCCAAAGCCACAGCCTATGAGAACAGGTATTCGAAGCCAGACCTACCCAACTCCACAATCTCTTAACCACTGCGACCTCCTCTATGTGTGTCCTATGCCCGGCCGTGGGCTGGGTGCCAGAGTAAATGTCTGATGAAAAAAGTGTCCCTGAAATGACATCACATCTCTGGATGTGACAAAGTCCGTCCCCAAACACACAGGGTGAGAACAGGCCTCAGTGTGGCCTGGAGCCCAGTGGGGGGTGACGTCTGCCCAGTGTCTACTCGGCCACCAAGTCTGCAGGGGCGGGTGATGGCATATTAGTGCTGCCTTCCTGGAGCCCAGGGTCCAGCAGTGGAAGCAGATTAGCCCCTCAGTGATCGACGAGGAACAGCCAAGGCTGGGTGGGGCGCGTGGGGACAGGGAGGCTGTCACAAAGACAATACCTGCGCTGGAGCATACAGGCCGTGGGCTCACACAGCAGGCGGCAAGGGGGAAGGGTGGCCCTGGCAGAAGGACAGGCTTATGCACGGGAAGGCACAGGGCACCCCAGAAGGGCCTGTTTGTGCAGCAGAGGGTGTGAGAGCTCACAGGGCAGAAGTGGGAGGGGACGATGGGAAGAAAGTTTGAGGCCAGCATTATCCTACACGGGGCATCCTAGCAGGTGGGCAGTGGAGAGTGACAGCGGCCAGGACCAAAGCTCTGGGGGTCCTGAGAGGATGCGGATTCAGGTAGAGGGTATGACAGGATCACAGTATGTGGCCTGACCCACAGCTCAGGAACAAGGCAGCGGAGTCCTCGGTTCAAACCCAACCCCAGGGAAGACATGTTCAGAAAACGTTGGAGACACTGACATTACAACTTCCCGAGTCCCTTCCCACTAAGCAGATCTGCCTGCCAACCCGGCCCCACTTCCGCCCACTTCCGCCCACTTCCGGAAGGAGGGCTAGGAGGAGGGGGAGGGAAGACACTGGAAACCTTATCAAGCGAGGCAACCTTGCCCTGGATTCTGCCAGTTCTTATTGCACCTTGGAAACTCTAAATAGGCCCTGGCCAGACTCCCTGGTGCCTGCAACAAACCGAAGGAAGGAAGGAAGGAAGGAAGGAAGGAAGGAAGGAAGGGAGGGAGGGAGGGAGGGAGGGAGGGAGGGAGGGAGGGAGGAAGGAAGGAAGGAAGGAAGGAAGGAAGGAAGGAAGGAAGGAAGGAAGGAAGGAAGGAAGGAAGGAAGGAGTAGGAAAAGGGGGAGGGTGAGATGGAAGAAAAATGTATAGATACATTCAAATGACGAATACTTGTAATTTCAAGGAAAGAGCATATGAGCTTCATAAGTAAGATGACGTCTGCCTCTGTCACCTCCTGGTCAGTATTCCAGTGGGAATTAGTTTCCCTGTCACTGCCGACCTCACCCTTCAGCATCTGGGAGATGCCCAAGGCCACCTGACACCTGCCTCCCAAGAGGAGGGGCACTGGCGTCTAAGGAGAGATGTCCAAGCCCGAGGAGGAGACCCCGCTTGTTCCTTACAAAGCGAGGAGGCGGCAGGGCGGGGCTCCCGGGACAGAGAGCAGGCCACACACAGCTGCCTCTGATCTCAGCAAAACGAACCTTCCACTCGCACCTCCAAGAGTTCGAGACCCAAGCCCTGCACTACCATGACAGGGACTCCACTGCACCATGTGTGGGCCCTGAGACCGGCAGGGTAACGTAACGAAATAAAGACACGTGTGGCTTTCTGCAGCTGGGAACCCTTGCCTTGTCCCTTACTGCCCACCTGCCCAACAGAGAAGCAGCGACTGGCTGAAGCCCAGCTCTAAGGAAGAAACTGTGACAGTGGCTGCACGATGTCAAAACTGTCTCTCTATTGTAGCTTTACCCTGAGGTTCGCTCCCTTCCCATCACCATAGCAACCCGCATCCCCTAACAAGGTTCAAGGGCATCCGTGGGAGTGCATATCTGTGGCCACCATCTGGTGACCCGATCTTCCTCCTCTGGGGGTCACGCGGCACCCACTCAGGAACTCAGACAAGGCACCCACTCCTCGACATCTCTAGGTGTCAGTAGAAGGCGACTTTTACTGGGCCACGGTACGCTGTTCAGGACTCTCTGAATAACTAAGTACTAGGAATCTGGAGTTAAAATGTCTCTGATTAAGTCTTGTTCTTCATCCTCCCTCTCCCATAGGAAACGTCTCACCTCCCTGTCACAATGCACTTCCTGACGCACCAAGCAGCAGCAAGAGCTGATGATAACCCGCATTCTCGGGGTTCCTTGGAACATGTCCCGTCGTTGGCAAGTAGGATCTACATCATTTGAGCATATTTCTGGTTCATTGATTCTAGATATGGAGAAATTCCAGGAAATAAATTAATTAATTAATAACCCTTCCCAAGATTCTTGGTAAAGCCTGGATGCTCTCAAGGGGTCCATTAAATGCCAATTCCTACCATAAGGAAATAAGAGGAGAACTCTGAGCCCCGGCGTCCGAAATGATGGGCCGGCCACAGTGGCGAATAGATTCCACCCCCGAGGGCTCCCTGTGCCGCCCTGGAATGTTGCTATGGGCGAAGGGGCTCTTGGATAAACTATATGTGACAGAGGGTGTCATGGAGGGCCACTCAGGGATTGGGGTCCAGGCCTCCTCTTCTCTTTCATCAGAGACGGAGCTAAAGGTCACTTCTTCATCAGCGGTTGTAAAGCTGAAAAGTCACTTGGCTCAGGACTCAGGACCTTGGGGTGGACTGCTGGGGAAAGCAGGCTGGCCTTATTCTCTTAGGTCAGTGGTTTTCAAACTGTGCTCCAAAGACTCCCCAAAAGTGCTCCCAGACAAGCCGAATAGAGCGGGGAGCAGGCGGGCAGAGCTGACAACCCCCATCTCCACCTCAGACCAGTCACCTCCCTTTCCTGCATTTTAGCCACTGAGTGTGTCTGCAGCAGAGTTTTGCTTCAAAACTGGATTCCACTGCGATAAAAACAGTTGGAAACTGCTATTTCATATCTTCAAAATAAAACAATAAGCCATTTCTGACTCTTCTGTCCCTTGAGCATTAGGGTTTTATAATTGCATTGCCATTTTTATTTTTTATTTTAAAAAAAGGTATGAAGCCTGAGCCATCGGGCCATCTCTGCAGATAGTTGCAAACCCAGGACTGGGCTCTGCAGGCTGGTTCACGGTCACGTGGTTATTTGTGTGCAGAACACCAGGGCTCAGCCTGGCTCTCCTGGGGTGCAGTGGCTGTGCAAACTGGGAGGCGTTTCCAACCCTGTATGTGTGTGCATGTGTGTGTGTGCGTGTGCATGTGTGTGCATGCATGCACATGTATGTGTACGGTGGTGGCCATGGGGAGCAACTTCTCCCCCCTGTAAGTTTCCAAGCAATTCCCCGCATTCCAGAAATCTGCCTTCACAATGCATGGAGCCAGTCCTGGCTTGGAAAA